GGCTCCGTAGCTGCAATAGATTAAATTAATCAAAATTCAATTAAATAGAAACCAACGATAACATTTTCATCTTACTGGATATAGTTAAATTTATTGCATAGTTTAAATTTTTTTTGAAACAAAAGAAGCTTTTATATAATCTACCTAAGCCATACCTTATTAAAAATAAATAATAATTATACCGCTTTCTTGCTAAACACATGTAATATAGTTCATTAATATTTTATTTTAAATTTGTTATATCTACAATTTGCAAATCAGAAGAATAGAAACCTATAATGCACAGAAAAACTGATGAAGTACAAGGTGAAAAATTTTATTTGAAGAGATTCTATGAACATACGTACGTACGTACAATAAATAAACGGAGGTCAATCTGATAGAATTTAAATGGTGCTGATTACTGTAGCTAATTACTCGATAATAACCGGCACACATTCAATATTATAAGGTTTAACTAATAAGACAACATGAGCGATGAACATAAAGTTTACTATTTTTAATAAAACAACGTTTCATAGCAATTCATACCGATACGTACATCAAATTATGGAATCAAAAGTTGATTTAATTTTGAATCTTATAAATACAACCTGAATACAATAAAAAAGATTTGGGGGCATGCTCAGATCGATCAGAACGATCAGATCAGCTAAATAAGATATGATAAAATTTTCATATGAAAATCCTTTCTGTTTCAGTCTAAAAGGAAATGTGGCGGATCACGAGTGAGATTGCAACCAATAAATGAGATGCCTAATACTAATCATAAACTTTAGTAGAAATGATCTGCTGCATGACTACAAAGAAAAATTAGAGGAGGGTTAACTTATTCACTATTGGTGATCACGGTAGTTTGCATGGAATTATTGACTTCTATAAGTTACTTGTTAAAACTTACTTGCTATTCTATAGTCTGTATTAGTGTCGCAAGGCAAAAATTTGAATTCCTGAATTTTAGAATTTCACTTTCATAAACAAATCAAATTCTTATAAGCCTGCTTCTGAAATGAAATTTTAGAAAACAATTTAGAGTTTCCCTATTGCAATATTCAAAATCATGAATAGATGACAACTAAGTTATGATATTATCATGCAGAAGACTGATATATTATAGTTAAAATACTACTCCAGTCATTTCTGTAACTTGATTCACAATGTCTTGATTTTTACACATTTAATTATTAATTTATAAGTCGATTATAAATATAAAAGATATAATATATATTACAACATGAATAATGCAAATGAATGAAATATCGCTTTTACAATTACACCATAATTTTCTAACAAATTTGACCAACAAAAAAGGGTTAGATCAATTCTGGTCCAATCAGTCACGATTCTAATAAGACTGATATATCAGTCTGATCCAATTAGTCTTAACTATTTTCACGTTATCGAAACAAAATTCATGCGATGATAGCTTTTAACCGTTTAAAGTTTATTTATTTTAATAGATTATTATTAATTTGTTTGAAACTGGTTAAAATACTTAACTGAAAATCATATAACTGGTCAAAAGATCTGTCCCTAACTGGTTTTCTTAGGGCCAATCCAACCCTAATTAGATAATGTAGATACATGTAGATACTGTAAATAGAAAATTAAGCGTACATAAGAACTGTGCAAAAATCAATTATTAAAAAAATTACAAACAGATAAATTTGTGAATACGTACAGTACTGCTGTATAATGTAGATTTGACAACCACGTGGATTGATCGAGAATGTCGTAATAGTTACAAATTTGACAATCATGCTGACGATCAAAAATGTCGCAATATTTATAGTAGACTAGTGGTGGCAGAAATAACACGTCATCACGTGACCGAAGATCCTTTCCGATGTAATTTCCGGCCGGAAGATCTATGGATAGTGCATAAGAACAGTGCAAAATTTTCAAAGTTTAAATCAAAATATCTCTACAACAGCCCGACCAAATTTGACAAATTTTTTTTTATTTAAATTGCATAAATCAATAAAACCTAAATAAAATAAAAAAAATTCGAATTTGGTCGGGTTGTTATGGAGATATCTTTGCATAAAGTTAGAGAAAAATCAAACGTCTATCAAAAGGGAAACTGCCA